AAATGTTTTTTTCACTCAAAAAATGAGGTGCCTACTCTCAGATAAATGAGGCCTACGATTAATCAGAAGCAAATATAAATACAAAACCAGTCCTAAATGAAAGATAAGAAGTTGACAACAAGATTGAATCCAATCTTTGTTGATAATATAGCATAATGAGTGATTTATAAGCAATTTTTTGAGGCCGGGTCCTTTTTGCTCTGTAACCTCATAAGTGTGATAGGGTTCTGAACACAACACAAGGGTTAAAGCAACATTAACATCTACTTCTTGCTTTTTTAAAGCATCTTTTGCCAATTTCTCAGCTGTTTCATTTCCCAATATGCCCACATGTGCTGGCACCCAGCAGAAACCGACTAATACACCTTTTCTTTGTACACGCCATAATAATATCAATATTTCACTTAATAAGTCTTCTCTACATGAATGATGGGTGGACAACGATGTTAACACAGAAGCAGAATCAGAGCATATCACTACTCTGTCTGGTCTTACCTCTTCAATCCACATCAATCCTATTATGATAGCGACCATTTCAATAGCATATATTGATAGCTTAGGTGATACTCTTTTAGTTATTGATACATTCAAGTCCGGGATAAAAACTCCTATTCCTGCAAGCCCTATATTTGGGTCTTTTGATCCATCTGTATAAATATAAGTACTCGCATAAAATCTTTGCTGTAAATGTCTATTCACCACATATTTGTTATTACCCATTTCCTCCCAGTCCCTTGTCTTGTCCAGTATTTCCAAATCAATTTTAACTTCAGGAATTAACCAAGCTGGTACCTCGCCCCATACTGGAGACATACTACATTCTATATTTGCAATCTGATATCTTTCTGCTAGTTGATTAATATTCCATCCAAAACCCTTCCCTTTTTCCTTTGTATATTCCCAACAATTATTCAATACATCTTTTGAAATATGTTCTCCAGCATGACTGTTCATTGATGTCCAATATACTAGGGACAATTTTACTCTACGTAAACTTAATGGCTTTTAATTTGCCTCTACTAATAGTGCATTGACTGGAGCTGTTTCAAGACAGCGTGGGAGGGGTTTCCTCAATGGAGTCAAGTGATTTACAGCTCAAGCACGGAAAGCCTGAAGAAGGCACATTTGAAAAAGCGGTAATAGTGATTAGACGTTCTGCAGTTCTTCTTCTCCTTCTTTTGTTTTTATGGCGGGTTGCGAACGTTCTGCAGTTCTTCTTCTTTTGATTTTATGGCGGGTTGTGAATGTTCTGCAATTCTTCTTCTTCTTTTGGTTTTATGGCGGGTTGCGAACGTTCTGCAGTTCTTCGTCAGAAACGGCTGAAAAAAAGCTCTTCTGATTATTTTACGTCATGACGCAATACGTATCACGTCGTACCTAACATCCTTGCGTGGCATTAAAAAAATAAAAAATTTTAATGTATGTATTTGTTTTAATAATGGCTATTTTTAATTTAATTTTATTTTTCATGTTATTCATTCATTCCTTTATTTATTTTGTTTATGTGTAAGTGTTTTTTTTTTCTTGCTTGTGCATGTGGGTTACATGTGAAATTTGGAGATGCTCTTTAATGATTGTGCAGTATCATTTCTGTTTCTTTAATAAAAAAAAACCTTGCGTGACATTATATGTCCTAAAACATTTAATAAAGTCATATGTGGACACACATAACACTGATTCATTTTTTAGAAAATGTTCTATTAATAATGTCATTTATTTAAATTCCTTGTGTTCTAGTATTGTCCATGATTCAGTTCAAACAATCATTTAGAAGCTAAATATCATTTGTGTTTACAATAAACAATACTGAAATCATTTACATATTTTGAATGAAAACACGTTACACGTTGTGATAAAATTCTACATAGCCTATTAAATCCATGTCGGACGTGTCTCAAATGACAGTCCTCGGTTCAAGTGATTCAAGATGGATTTAATTCGATTCGTGAACAAATCGTTCAGTCCGGTTCATCGAAAAGATTCGACTCAACAGAATGATTCTGTGACGAATCGGGCATCGCTAAATATAACAAATATCATCCCCATGTTTTTTTTTTCTTCTTCTTTTTTTTGTTGTAAAATGATCCGCTATGAATTTATGACGGTATAAAAGGCCGATGTTGCAGATTTAATTTGTTTTATGCCCCAATTTCTATATATATATATTTTGACAATATTAGACTGTAAACATGTTTTATCCACGCAGTTCTGGTATATATAAAATTAATCTAGGTCAATATCAGTATCAAAATCGTGATGCTGTGTGCCCGTAATCTCCACCCATTTCCTGAGGTGTGAAGGATGTCGGCGAAACGCACGGAGAGCGTTCTGTAGCCCACCGCACCCACCACCACAGCAGCAGCGTTTCTGACTGATTTCTGCTCACATCGACTCCTGCTTCATCTACACAGTCTTTCGGGGAATCGGCACGTAAGCACGGACCGGTCGATGGAAAAAGCGAGAAGATGATAATGTGAAGAGGGTGGACATGGAAACCCGACGCTGAGTTCCTTTAATTGTGACCATAAGACACCATGGCCAAACAGTATGATGTGCTGTTTAGACTCCTGCTTCTCGGAGACTCCGGTGTTGGCAAAACCTGTTTATTATGCAGATTCACGGACAATGAATTTCATCCCTCTCACATTTCCACCATCGGTAAGAGTGTTACTTTAATGCATCCGTTCAAAGAGTTGCAGAACAAACAGCACATACCGATATGAAAACCCATAGCAGCGCTGGGCCATTATAGTCTATGAGCCATTAAAAGAATGGCTTGAGAATTACAACACATGGTGAGATGCATTCACACAACCTCTTCTAATTCTTTCTGAGATGCCTGACTGTATCTTTGTGTGAAGTCTTAAAATGTTGCATTTTTACACAACTGTCACAAACCCAGTATTTGTTTTAGATCGTTCTTATAGATAATAAAATGCAGTAACCTAAATCATAGGTTGCATGAATGGCAGTGCACACAGAAAGGGCAGGTGTGTTATTGCATGCATTCTCACTAAAATATTGATGCATAAAAGTGTCCTGTCAGCCATTCCAACTCATACATGCTGTTCTATGCAAGTTCTACAATATTGATATGAAATGGAATCAGCTTTAACTACATTGAACGTTTTGGTCTCAGCTGTGAGAAATATGGAAAGATTTTTATTGCAATCTCTAAAACTGTTTTCTATAAAAAGACTATTTTATCACTGTACGCTTTCAAGAATTCCCAGCATAGGGATCATTTTTATTTTGGCTTATTGGATGTTATGAAAAACAAAATTTGGTTCTAAAAAGGCTTTTCATAAACCTCTCATTTTGGTGTTCATATGCGCTTGGTCTAGTGGGGCATTTTCCCAGTGGGCTGACATTATGTCCTGACAACAGCCAATTTACTCACTCGAAGAGGATGAACAGAGAGATTATTTTACAACAGTTTCCATAAATATATAATTTTATATTTTTCATTTGCCATAAGGACACTTAATTATTTTTTTAACTACAAACCTACTCTTAATACTTCACTTATACTTCATATTTTGTGATGCTTATCATGTATAAAGGTAAACTAGATGCTTCTTTATGTATAAAGGTCTTTTAAAAGGATAGTTTGCCTAAAAATGAAAAATAAATGGTCACTGTTTACTTGCCTTTCCAAACCTTTTTGCTGCTATGGAAACTAAAAGTAGCTATATCTAGCAAAATGTCTTAGCCGCTCTTTTCCATACAATGAACATGAATGATGACTACAACTGTCCCTATGCGATTTCATTGTATGGAAACTAGCAGCTTGGACATTTTGCTAAATATCTAAGTTTGTGTTCCACAGAAGGAAGAAAGTCTAATGGGTTTGG